CTGGCGAGCGCACGTGCCCTACAGTGAAAAATCTCTCAAAAAAAAAAAAAAAAAAAGAGGTGGCAATCTCTTGTTTCTGTTTTGCTCACATACAGGACATCAGTGTATTCTGTGTAAGGGACCTCCTGTTTAAAAGAAGAGAATTTGCTCTGAATTTCCCCTCCATCTTCAACCAGATTAAAGTACAGATGGAGGAAGTTTGTCCTGACAACCGACACCTAGAGACAGACACACTAGTAAAAGCTCGTTGCAAACAGTGTCTCCCCTAAATTCTCCAGCGTGGCCTCAGGCTTTTGAAGTGATGTGGAATTGATACAATACATGAGAAGACAGCAGTATTTCTTGGTGTCCTCAGGATGCCTGTCTCATCACCTCTGTCCTGAGGTGAATGCATCTTGACCCACCCACATAAGAATTCCTAAGTATCTGAAGAGCCAGAAATTTAGTAAGCCACAAGAAGTCACAAGCCTAGCTTCAAGCTAGTTCACGTGAACTTAAGTCATGGCGTAATTAGACTAGGCATGAGACAGTGACCTGACAAGACTATTATGCAGATGGCCTATTGCCTTCCTAGATAGACCAGATCTTTTGATCTTTGATTAATTAGGAAGGTCACATTTTTCCTAAGACTCTCCTCTCTTCAGCAATCTTCTTCTAGAGACATTTTACTGTTTAGTTTCTACCTCCTTGATGTCCACCTGAGGGTGAGAAATAGAAAACACCGCAACATGACACATTATTTGAATTCTGTCACTGTTTACGTCCTGACCCTGAAGGCTATGAAGCTGCCTGCACGTCTGCAAGTTTTCACTTATTCATACAGCCCCAGTCTTTGCTAGTCAATTCTGATAGGATGGAACCTCCTGATGGGAGAGGTAGACAAACCCACATGACAGGCCATCAGCAAAGTCATGACTTATTTTTCTATGCAAAAATGTATCATGACTTCCCTAAGGGTCCAAAGCAACAATAATCCCTTTACAAAATAATCCAAAAAATAAGACAGTGTGTCTAGGAATTTATAAAAATGTAATCATAACCATTCATTTAGTCAGAAGAGAATAATAAATACATAGGGAGAGCTATTGCTTCCTCCTGAGACTGAAATGTATCCCCATAATGGAGGGTGACCCATAACCTAGGTGTTTACTTCTTCGCACCTGATTCCGATCAAGACAAAGATCTGGAATTTTAAGCTATCCCAGCTTTGCTCCATCTCCTAGGCACTTAGGAGTATCTGTGAAATCAGTCTTGAATGTCATCTTAAACGGCAAGGCTGGTCTCTGAGCCCTGGAATGAGCATTGCCTACAGAACTCCCTGCAGTTCTCAGCATGTGCTTCAAATCCTTTAAATAAAACTGATTTCTGGAAAAGTATATTTCTGGAAAGTTTTGCCCAAACTACTGACACGAGTATATGAGGTATTAATTATTTGTATTTCCAAAGGATTCAAGGCAAGTCAGAGTTACCTTAACCAATGAGTTATATCCTTTAGTTCATTTAAATAACATTGAATTTATAAATATTCAAGTAATCTAAATTTAGGATCATAGGACTGGTTCCAGAGCATAGCAGTCAAGTTCAGTGCATAGGGAACATAATCCCACATAACTGACCACTGTTCAAATCCTGACTTGAAAAAACATGCCAGGTGTGTGTCTGTGTGCATGCCCCCAAATCCTGACGATGAAGAAAGGGAGGAAAAGGGACTGTGGATGACCATACTTTGGTAGGAAGAGCTTTCTCATGAGTTCACTCACTCTCTCTCTGGTAAGACCTCGGTGGGGGGGACGTAATTACATATCTTATATTAAATGGTGACACCTGGATATCACCTACTCTATTTAACTTTGAAATTACTCCTTTGTAGTAATTTATCATTTATTAGTCTTCTTAAATGTGTAAGTAAATATTTAAGTTAAAGATTTTAGTCATACATGTGAAATACCTTCAGTCAAAATTTTAGAAAAGAGAAAGTAGTGCTTAAACCTACTTATAGAATATGCTAAAAATAAAAGGCACAAACACTTCTCAAATCTTAACAGATCTTAACCTCCAGCATAAAAATATTTCACCAGTGTTCCTTCTGAAAACTTAAACTTGGGGACTAGCAGTTAGCGTAATGGCTATGTCGCTGAACTCCCATGTAGCCAACTGTGGTTCGAGTCCCGGACCCAGTGGCTTAAACTCATGCCGGGTGCATGTGCATGTGTGCCCAAGATCCTGAGAAGAGAATGGAGGAGAAGGGATTGCGGTGTGGCCATGCCCTCTGGGGGGGGGGTGATTTCTCGCTTTCTGTCTCTCTGTCTCTCTCAGTCTTTCTGGTGAGTGCATGCAGCATGCTATAGCAAAAACCTCTCCAAAAAAACCTTAAACTTACATGGCCCTCATATGGGGGAAAAACTATTTTCAGATGAAACTGTAACGGACTAATAATACAAGCACTTACTAAACTATACCGCCATTTTCTCTATTTGACCTATAACTGCTTTTTTTTGGGGGGGAGGGACAAGGAAAGTGGGAGAGAGGACTAAGAAAAACATAAAGCAAAAAGTCAACAAATCCACCTCAGAGGAGTTGAAAAAGATTTTTCTTGTGCTTGGTGTGTGTGTGTGTGTGTGTGTATGTGTGTAATTATTTCACATTTTGAAGAGTTAGCATGTAGCACCAAAGTTATAAAGGTAACTATTCTACTAACCTTGGTGGGATTTTATTTTTAATTTGAATATATATCCTGGTTTTTCTCTAAGAATATGAAAATGAAACTGAAATTTGTATATGCTAATACACATTCAAGTCTTATTTTAACTTTAAATACATATTTTTTTTTCCTCCATACATGGATTTGAAGTTGTGGTTTGCAAAGGACCAGTGCTACAGTTTAAGCCTAGCAAGCTACTTCCATGCCTGAACCTCATCTCAGCACAACACATGGTTTCTAGGGCCCTCACCCACTGGTTGCAAATTAAGGGTGATGCTCAGCTTGAAGTTTCTCTTCCTCTCAGCCAACTACCTGCCCTTCCTGTGTCAACTGCCTCTGACTTTCCTCCAAACAGCGTGACAGAAAGCTGGCCTGAGTCTGAATGTTCTCCATTCCACAGAAGGGTGTGTGTGTTAGAGTCAAAATTCTAGAACAGGAAGGGACATTAAATACCATCTAATTCAAGCCTTCAAAAAGTTCATGCAAATTACATAATCTGAAAAGACCATGTATGGATTTCAAAATTGTTTTACCAGCAGATGGCATAATGGTTACATCACTGGACTCCCACATGGTCGAACACAGTTCGAGTGCCGGATCCGGCGGCTTCAAACTCACGCCAGGCACGTGCACCTGCATGCACAAAATCCCAGGAGGGGAATGGATAGGGGATTGTGGTACAGCCATTCCCCTGGGGGGTGACTTCTCACTTTCTGTCCCTCTCTGTCTCGAGCAAGCACATGTATCCTATGGCGCTCTCTTAAAAAAACAACAGGGTCAGCAGATGGCATAGTGGTTACATCCCAGACTCCCACGTAGTCAACCATGGTTCAAGTCCTGGACCCAGCAGCTTAAAACTCAGGCACAATGCATGTGCATGTGTGCCCAAGATCCCAAGAGGTGAATGGAGGAGAAGGGATTCTGGCCTAGCTATTCCCCCAGGGGATGGTATCTCACTTTCTGTCTCTTTGTTTCTGTCTCTCTGGTGAACACATGTGCCCTATAGCAAAAATTTCTCCAAAAACAAAACCTTGTATTTTAATTCCATTTTTCCATGAAGTTTTCGAAGTTCCCGCATACTTGTTATATTTTGTACTGCTAACCCTTTGTTTCCTCATCTGTAAAATGAATATATAAATGGTACTTACCCCCATAGGGCTTCTGTGGGTAGTAAATATGACAATGCTAATAAAGCACTTTTAGCACTGCCTAGTAAACAGTAAGTGCTTGACTTTTTATTTTACAGAAGAAAAAGTCAGGAGACCTAGTCTCCTGACAGTTCCTCAAGCTATACAACTCACTGCAAGGCACCTGTGAGTTAGTAGCTGAGGCAGAATCTGATATCATTCTCTCCTGCATCCTTAGACAAGGACCCCTGATTTAGCTGGAAGGAGGACCTGCCCAGCCTGATTTAGACCACACGTAGCAATCTCCCTTGCAACCAACTATGGCCAGTACAATAAAAGGAAGTTGGTGGAAACTGCTTCCAGGAAGTCTATTTTTTTAGCTGCCAGAGGGGACCTGCTTAAGAAAGAGAGAAAACACCTTCTCTGTAGGGTGTGGTTTCCCCTGCAATCTCTTTTCCATTTCTCCATATCTAGGGATTTGGGCCCCCACACACACACATTCTGACACTTGGGAATAGGTTTGGCATTTCAACCAGGATTGGTGGGTTGGCCTTGAGGGATGTGGCTTCCTTATCCAAGCAGGCCAGTAGGCAGGCCCCCTACGAAATCTTTTAAAGGCGTGTAGGAAACAGCAATTTAAGTTCTTGGTCGGTGAGCAGCACTCTGGAGTTAGAACTCAAGTTCCTGACTCCTGTGCCCAGATCTCGAGGTCCTTCCATAGCCAGCCCTTAAGGGCACTGAACAGCTACCACTTCTTGTCTAGGCACTGTGTGCACGCTGAACACGGCAATAATCCCGGGGTACCCTTAACTGTGGTTTACAGGTGACCAGTAAGGTGGCTCGCTCGAGGTCACGACAGTGAGTCAGGGGCTGGGGAATTATGACCCATCTTGAGTCCAAAGTAATAGTTACAGCAATAATAAGGTTTTCAGTTACACAGATGCACTGTACCCAAAGCCGTGTGGTAAGCCAGGAGCCTGGAATGCCAGTAACCAGCTGTGTGACCTTGGGCAACCCAAAACTCCTGTAAACGGGGGAACTGGGCCAGACTGTGCGGTTGCTCCCAGTCCTAAAACCACGAGCTGCCAAGCGCCAGCAGGGACGTGCGCCCTCGGGCAGCCCGCAGCCGAGGGCAGGGACCAGGACGCGCGCCGCCGCGGGTGCCCGGTTACCTGACAACGCCGCCTCCTCCCAGTGCACTGGCCCCGAGGCCAAGGGCGGCAGCCAGAGCAGCAGCCACCACGGCCCCGGGGGCGGCCGCATCCCGCCCGGGCTCGGCTCCGCGCCACCGGAGCCCTAGGGTACGGCCCGGCCGAGAGCAGCGGAAATGGCGCAGAGCCTGGGAGGAGCTGGCGGGGACAGTGAGCCCCGCAGGCGGGAAAGGCAGAGCAGCAGCCTCACAGGCAGAGGAGGGCCCGACGCTCTCGCTTTTGCCGAGCCTGGGGCACTGCAGCCCGGGGAGACTCCCGGCTGCCTCCGCCCGCGCTCCGGGCCTCCAGGCCTCGTCCTCCGCAGCAAGGTCCGCGGCTGCTGCGCCTGGGGTGCGGACGGGCGGATCACCTGCGAGTGTCCCCTGCAACTTGCTGGACCCAGACCTGCGGGATGCGGGGCTGAGTGCTCAGAGTTCCCAGGAGCGGCAACCCGTGAGTGGGGGGTTCAGAAACTCCCTTTTTATAAACGAAAGCCAGTTCATTTTATCTATGCTTTACTTTTAAATTTTTTTTTTTAAATTTGGTAACAAACAATAAATTAAAAATTTGGTTCCTTCAATTATGACTGCTAAGCTCATAAGCACACATTACAGAGTACAAAGGGACTGGAAAACGTTCTTTCAGCGATATAACAAACAGATATCTCTTAAAATTAGCTTGTGTTATAAAAACAAACAGGCGGGCAAGCAAGTAGTTAAGGTGGCTGGATCCCACATGGCCAACAGCGGGGCTCCAGTCCTGGATCAGCAGCTTGCCCGAAATCCACAGAAGAAAAAGAAGGGCTTACAGCGACCGGCCCCACAGTGAGTGCCTTCTCACTTCATACCCCCTCCCAGCACATGTGCACTCTGGTCAGAAAAGAAAAACAAAACAAAAACAGAGGTTATGTATATCTTGAGTGGTCTTAATAATAATTGAAATCTTTTTTTTCCTTTCTGTTTTGTTTGTTTTTAAAGCACAGACCCTTCTCAGTCCCCGGAAATCTATTAGTCCACATTTAAAACTTAACTAAGACAAAAAGACTTACTTTTTTCTAATCCTGGGCTTCTGTGAAGATACCTAGTATGACAGAAATCATCCTCTTAAAAATAACTCACCCTTGGGCCAGCAGGTGGCATGGAGGTTAAGGTGCTGGATCCCACATGGCCAGCTTTGCAGTTCGTCTGGATGGGTGGCTTGAGAATCATGCTGGGCGCAGGTATGCAGGTGCCCCAAATTCTGAGAGGACAGTGGAGGAAAAGGGGTTGCAGCATGGCCATTTCCTCTGGGGAGGTGATATCTCACTTTCTCTTATGGTACAACCTGGTAGCCTAATACATACCTGCATAATTCTCTAAGCTTTTTTTACTCAAAGTATATAAAAGTATAGATACACATATATTAAAAACTAAAACAAATGATAAAAAAGAGCTTCCCAAAATTCGGGGCTCACCTTTTAAATATAAATCCACTCAGCCAGTGCTAGAACACTAATAAATTGCTATTTTCCTGCAAAATCCTCAGTATCCTGTCTCTCTCGCTAAGTATCCTGCTACACATTCTCTCTGTGATGAACGTGTGCTCACCATAACAAAAATTAAAAAAAAAAAAAAAAAAAAGTCAGCCTAGGCCTTAAACTGGTCAGGTGAGGGTGTCAACAGCCTGTGGTCCTAATTAACAGGCTTCAGTGTGACAGGAAAGACTGAAAAGTGGTGACACGCTATCAAGACATACCTATCTCTCTCTCCCTTCCTGTGTGTGCATTTTCTCTCTCTCATTTAAAAAAAAAAAGAAGAAAAATTAGTCTCATATTTTTTTAAGGTCCAAGTATAATGGACTAGGTTATCTCTGGCCTCAGAGTAAGGCTTTATCAACTGCCTTTAAACCCTTGGTACCTGGTGTACACCATACATGGCTTTTAAAATTAGGGCTATCCCCATTGCTAAATAGCTAAGCACAGCGCAGAGGAAGCCAGCTCTCATGTGGGCACCTGGGGTTTGAATCCCCACACCTATGATGGGTGCCCCTACAGGTGCCCAGGATGCTCACAGTATGAAAACTTGGAGGAAGAAGGATTGCAGCATCGCCGCACCATGGTGGTGGTGGTGGGGGGGGTGTTCTATTTTTCTGTCTCTCTCACATGAGTGCACATGTCCATGCACTCTATCATGAATAAAAGAAAAACCTTTTTATTTAAATTAAAAGTTCAGAAATTTCCTTCAAAGATGTCTTTTCCTTTTTTTCTCTCATAAGGTGTTTGCCATAGGGAACACGAGCTCATGAGAGAGAGACAGAAACAGTGAGAGGGAAAGTAAGGAATCAACCCTCCCAGGGGATGGCAACATTGGAATCCCTTCTCTATTCTCTCGGGATTGGGGGCATGCACACACATGTGCCCAGCATGATTTTCAAGCTGCCATGTCTTGGACTCAGATCGCCATCAGCCATGTGGGAGTTCAGCACCTCAACCACTACACCACCTGCTGGCCCCAGCGTGATGATCTTTCAAAAATAAATCATCATTATTTAAACTCTCAACCCTGCAGACTATCTCCAGAGCAATAG